TTTTCTTTTATACATCACACGAATATTTGGGTATGAATTCAGGTTTGTGCACTAGTTCCACTGGTGTTGTTAGAATTTTGCTTGAACTTACCTATACTCAACAAGGCTGTACAATAATATTTTTGCTAGAATTGTAATCCTAATATCAGATGTCTAGCAAAAGTCATCAAGCGATACTACAATATTATGTTACGACATTATATATCATGATATCCAACGTTGAATCAAATGAATCACAGATATCGCTTGATGATTCATAGTGTCAGATTATATAAGCAGCTAAAGTGTATTAAGCGATTGAATTTGTTCTATTAATACTATATGAACTACATAACAACAACATTTTTCGTAATATTTTTTTCAAACTTTGATTGATATCATTAAAATTTCAAATTACTTCATATACATTTTATTTTTTTTGAATTTTACAAAAAAAACTTATGTTTTATAAATAAATATTCTTGTTTTATATTTTTTTAATTAATTATTTTGTTTTTTTAAAAATCACATGTGCTTGAAAATTTTGTAAATATATATTTAATATTTCATTATGTGAAAATGAAGCATAATTTTAGCATTTTGAAGCACATTTGAAGCATATTATTGCATAGAAGAATTTTTTATAAAGAAAGAAAAGAATTTTATTATCATCATGATAATCATGACTAATATCAGATGATTATAAAAAAATTTAACTATCAAATTTTTATTTGAATTATAAATTCTGAAAAGATGAATATGACCATTAATTTTTCTTTCATCCAATATTAAGTAACTTTATTAATTGTTAATTTTCATTGATGTGACTAAATAAAAAAATATAAATTTTTACACTAAATGAAAATTTAAATACAAAAAAATTGAGAAACGAAATGTTTTTACAATCTCCAATAACATGTAGTCACCAAAAAAATACAGGAGAGTTTCCAGAAAATCTAAGCAATTCAATGACATAATGTTATATAATATATTTCTTATAGACTAATGATATATATTATAGTAAAAGTAAAAAATCTAATAAATATCATGATAAATATCAAAATAATATATATAGTAGGTTTATGTCAATATGTAAAGCAAGTTGATGCTTGTTGCTTCAATAAAAAAAATTTGACGTTTGGTTTACGATGAGATTGTTTTGAAATTTTTTGTAGATAAATGAATGAAGAGACTGTGTGACATGGCATAAAGATACAATCACGTAGTCGAAATATCAATATTTAAAAATCATGATGAGCTAATGAAAAATAATTTAAAATATACTTGAATAATTAAAATTCAAGTTTATAGTTTTGACAACATTTATTTGAATATAGTAAATCACATAGTATTTTTATTCATTTGATGGTTTATCATTAACATTTTGCAATGAAATAAAAATGTAAAATTGAGATCAGTATGATTTTTTATCCCCATGATTCATTTCTCTAAAATTCATATGAACTTTACTACCCTTGTCATCTTTTAGCTTCCAAGAAATGTTTATTTCAAGCAAAAATTGATCTTAATTCTCTTCAGGAATAAAATGGTTGATTTTGCAAATTGAATACAAATTTAATCTAGTTTAACTTGGATACAATGGATTCAAGTTTTAAACTTTATTATCTCAACTCTCAATCTCTTTAATTTTTCATTTGCACAATGAACATTTTTTAATTTTGATAATTTTATTTCATAGTTTACAATGATTGCAATTAAGATATATTTCATATCAAATTTTGTACATACAATTATATTTATAAATAAACTTATCATTTACATGAAATTGAAACAAAATTATGTTGGTAAATCTTATGATAATCAAACTGCATTACATCTTGTAGCAAATCAAGTGATAAATATTAGAAACAAGCATAAAAAAATTTTAGGTGCACATTTAGATTGAAATTTTGAGTTATTTCAAATCAATGATAAATTCAAATTAATTGATGCATTACCCAAATTTTATTTTGCATAAGGATCATGAGTTTATCAGCAATCTTGTAATTTTTTTTATATGAATTTAATCAATATTTTTCTTAACTACGGCTTAATATTGTTATTTAGATATTTTTTTCTCCAACTAGTATTACTAGAATTAATTGGGTATTCTATATTAAAGCTTGAAGTAACTTTTTGCAACACAAGCTTAAAATTGTTGACTAAAATATTTGTGTTTTCATGCATGTATCTTAAGTAGATATAAAACATAAACCTTGTACGTAAAATTTTCTATGTTTAATATGTATATGAATTTTGCGTTTGAAAGTTACCTAATCAGACTTCTTTTTTTTGTAACATAGAAAAAAATTAATTTTATAAATTAATAAATAACCCAGTCATTAAAATAAAATAATTAGCACAATCTATACGAAAATTAATGGTAGCTTGTTACGAGAAAAATTTATGATTTTCGAGTAAAGCATTTGTGTTTTGTGAATCTAGTCTTCATCGATTCAAACCATTTACCTCATGTATTATGGTTTCTTGTTTAAAAAATTTGTGGTATTTGCGTTTGAGATTCATATTGATTATTAATTAATAATCCTTTGGAGAAGTATTGCATTTTAAAAAATAATTTTGATTACAAATATTGAGGTTTGATAAGTAAAATATTCGATCAGTAAAAAAATCTACACAATCAAATGATAATAAGCAAATTTTCTAATATCAATATTTTGTGCCTGTTTTACTTTATGAAATCTTAATATTTTTTAAAATTATGAAATACAGAATTCAAAAATACATAAATTTGGAGTTAAATTTTAAAGTTTCATTTCTTACCCAGAATTTGATTTGATTTTTTACTTTTAAGTTAAATAATAATTCAAAATAATTAAAAAAATATTAAATAATTAAAAGTTTCTTCAAAATTAGTATACATAAACATCTTGTGTAATTCATAATTAAGATTTATTTTAGTCTTGATATTTAAGATTAAAATAAATTCATAGTTGGAATTAAGTTTTAATTAAAAAAGATTCATACACTGGTGATCCACTTAAAATATTTATCATTTTTTTCAATTTATCACTGTATGTATTAAAATTTTTGACTAAATTTACATGAAGATTATATTCATAGAGCTATGCATTTTTAAGAAAAAATTATCACAACTATTTAAAAAAACTATAAATCATTAAATTAGGGCACATCTACTCATAATAATGAAAATGTACCACATGAGTGGAAGTTATAAATTCAAACATTTTCTGTATCACAATTTTAAATTAATTCCATCAGCACGTGTCAATTTTTCTCGTTTTCCAAGCTTTATAGTATAACAGGATGTTTTTATCCTTTGTTTAGTCCAAAACTTGTTGGAGACGATTCTTTACTTAGTTACGTTGTAACAAGATGTTTCAAAATTTATTGAAAGCATCAGCAATGTAATGTCATACCCGTAAGTATGACTTTGTTCAAATAAGTTCAGTTGCCTTTGCAACTCAGTTATGCCAACTACCCGAAATGATATCTTCATTTGAAGTATGCCAGGTTACAGATACGAAGATTGTCGTTACCGCAACTGCCTCAAAGGAAGGGACCATACCAGGTTTGGTGACCAACTTTAAAAGAGTTTGAGACGGTTTCTCACTTTGCTGTTGTTCAGTCTGTTAAATTATTTTTATCACACTTACCCATGTCCTCTTTTGTGAGAACGTGGGGACAAGAACAGAATATTGAAAGTAATGGTCACGCATGCAAAAAGAATTCTACAAGAACAACCATCTTGAGATTACAAAGCAAAGACCACAATAGGGCCAGACAAGTGAATAAATATATTCACAAATTGAAATAACAAAGGACCATACCTTACACATTCCCTTCTTCATTTGGAGAATATATGTAGCTACGTAGTCTGAACTGAAACAGTTTGATGTTAGGTATTACAATAACATTGTTGAATTGCTAAAAGTAGACTTGGTGTTCTTATTTAAGGGCAGTTCTCCTCTTGTTACCTTCTCCACCTTATCTTCTACCTTTGCACAATCTTGACCGAGATTGATAATATTTCAGTAGACGATGCTCCTTATAGGCACCGGTCACCATTTCATGTTAGGAACTGCATGCAAAAAGTATTAGAGATATTGTAGGAGATATAGGGATCTACATTACCATGAAAGTGAAAAGTCCTATGTTTCACTTGTGATATGGGGCCGGAGTACCTTACTACCTTTTGGGCCTACTGACTTCTTCTCTTGGTGATGTCTTGCCATGATTCTGCTGTTCCATGGATCGCCCTCTTAACTTCTCATTATAAATATTTTTAGTATACAAATTATTCTGCATCCTATATGAAGGACGAAATTAATGAAGACGTTATTCTCCATGTGAAGATTTGCTCGTTTTTAAGACTATGCAAAACTCATGTTTTAGTATGACATGGCGTGCATGTAAGTTAAAGTATGTTAGGTCACACTGTTGTTTTTTCAACGTGTTCCACGCGTGCATTGACTTTTTCGAAGTCTGCATGTTTGTCTCACTAACCAGCCTGCCAGAAAATGCATGCGGCAAGATGGGTTTGCATACTTTCCTTTCCATTAAGATTTAAAGCCTGACATGGACAAGGTGCTTGATTCTAAGATAGCCTTCTGTCTAGCTTTGGACCCTCAGTTTGAGGTGGATGTTTTCTGGTGCTTTGAGTGTACTCAATGCCCTTTCGTGACAACCTAATAGACTATCTTAAAGTTTTTTTTCCGGTGTAAGGTTTAAATTAGTTCGAAAGTATCATATAGTATAATTCAATTTTGGACTAAGCATTCACAAGATTTCATAACATCAGAAACAGAAACGCAGGACAAAGAGCTGAATTCCTATCCAAGTTTCTTGCCATTGTAATATTCTACCATGGAATATTTGCAAAGGTTTTTCACCTTGCCTTTCTTAGCTTCTTCAATTGATTTGTAACTAGATAACTCAATGAGGAGTCAATAGAATTATTAAATCGACTCCTTCACATTAATAAGTAATAGCGAGCATTAGAGCCATGGACGAGTAGATACAAACGATGGTGAATTTAATTACGACGCAAAAGCCAGTAATGATATTATGCCTACAGTTCTTTTCCCCTGCCTGTCCCATTCCGTTTGAAGACGCTTGCTACAGACAACATTTTGAACTTTCGTTTCAAAGTTCGTGCTGCCCGAGAACCTGACGATGTACGCCACTCGTTTTAGCATTCCATAGTTATCCACAAAGGAGTAGTAGTTCATGTATCCACTCATGATGCCCTGGTATCTTGAGATGAATTCGTGGTGAATATGCATAAATTTATAAATCCATAAGTACATCATTACATTGTAGAAACATACATTTTCGTAGAATTTTATTTACTTTCAAATTAAAGTCCGTACTAGCTTTTTTATCTCAAATCTAATCACGAGATAAAGAAATTATCTAATTTCATATTATATGTTGTTAACATGAAATTTTTATTAGAGTTTGCCTCATCTTCAATCATCATTTGATTATACTTCATGAAGTTTTAATCACGATTAAATTAATATGTTATTTGTAATATACTCATTCAATGAGGCATTTTTCATTTAGTAGATTAGAATATGTATAGACGTCAAAACATAAATTTTACAAATATCCAAATATGTAAATTTAATTCAAAGAAATGTAAACTTTATACTATCATGATAAGATTTATTTAAATTGGATCCAAATCGACAATTATGTCCAATAACACTCCAATCTTTTAAATCTTAGATATTCAACCTTACATATAGCATGTGTCTTCATGATTGTGTGGGTATACTACTTATATATATATTTTTTAGCATCTCAGTTCATATATTTTCTAAACTACATATTTTGCTAATTACTGTCTGCAATATTAACCTTATGCCTCAAGGTGTGACCTCAGTTAAGACTTCAAAAGCACCAATACCATTCGTAAATTTATACACTTGTACAAATGTAACTATAATGAAAGTATAGCATATATTAAAAACTTCTTGAAAGAAATGTAAATTTTTAAACAGGTAAAGAGTTGAAAAATCTGAACAAACTGGAATCATAGTTTTAGATTTTGCAAATTTAATTTGGAATTTTATAAATAAAACTGGATTTGTGTCAAAATTTTCAATTTATGTCTTATGATATTGGCTTATATGATATGAAAATATGGACATGACTTTACATACTGGAGAAAAGATGTAATATAAATTATTTTACGTATTGTGATAAATGATATTGTATGAATGATTATTCTGACTTTACTCAGTAAAAAAAAAATGTCATTTAATGGCATATTGCTTTTCTCAATATTTGGTTATTTATGTATAATATTTTAAAAAAAAAAATTTAAGATTTTAAAAAAAATCAATCATATACAGTTAAAATTTTTGATCCCAAAAAAATATATGAATTCATATATTTAAGATATTTGAAATACATGCTATTTGAAATAATTGTTGTAAGAATAATATTTGTATCAATGTACTTAACATGAAATAAACGTTCAATTTTCTCTCTTTGATCTTCAAGATATTTAACAAAATGTTCATGTATTAAATATATTATGTTCATATATATATATATATATATATAAGATCAACATAGATTGTAATTATTTGCTTAGTGATAAGTATCAATGAGAAATTTAGTAGTATGATTGATCAACTTAGTTCATTTGTCTTTTCATAATGAAATTATGAGATATTTTCACAAAAAATCTTAGATTATGAATAATATATAATGTTGGATGAATCATTGAATTAAAATGCAAGAATTTAATATAAATTGTAATTATTTGCTTAGTGATAACCATCAATGAGATCTTTAGAACTACAATTGATCAACGTAGTGTATAAACATATGAATATTTTTAATATTTTTAATCTATCAAAAAATATTTTCAATCATTGAAATTTTCTTTGAATGACATGAAACTCGAAATCGATACATTATTAATCTAAAGTAATAATTTTATTTAGTTTTATAATTTCATGTATAATATTTATAATTCAAATGTGTATAGCATAGTTATATAATTTATTCAACATATGCAAAAATATAAATTTATTCTTAAAAAATATGTGAATAATTCAAATTATTTATAATTCTATCAATTAAAATTATGCAAATCGCATATTGTTAATTTCTCTAACAATTTTCTCTAATGTGACATAGAAAAATGCTTAACATTTTATTGGTAGCAATGTTTTTGGAAAAATTTTATCATTTTATATGAAACTTTCATTAAGAAAAAATAAGTAATTTATGAATTTTTTGATAAAATGGACAAGTTTATCTTACTTTGAAATTAATTTTTGCCAAAAGAATTGCTTAGATGTACTGTTAATAAACCAATAGTTTGAATTTAAAACCCTAATGTTGAAAAATGCAGATCAGTGTCAAATTTTGATTTATGACAGAAAGTATACATTAATATTTTAAACATAAAGCTTCGAATTATAATCGCCCAAACAATAGATTGAATGAAAAAAAATTGACATAATCTCACTTGTCACATTAAAATATCTTACGAATGATATACATTCAAGTTTAAATGTGATAACAATGGAGACAATTGATGTTCATCATAGATGAGTTAAGTAATGAAAATTTTGAAATTTGATGTCTTTGTTGATTCATATATTCATAGCATGCTAATTCATTGCTAACTCATCTTACTCTAAACTACATTTTATCTCCAATATAGTTCACATTTAATGTCTTAACATCATCTTGATTTCTCCATATTGATCTCATAACAGATTTTACTCTGTTATCATTAGATCTCAGTTATTTTCAAAGATGATTTTTATTTTTATATAAAGATAGATAGAAATCATGGATGTTGAAATTTTTTTATGGTAATTATATATGAACACAAAATTTCAATTTAAAATTTTTCTGAAATAATTACAATGTATAGATCATTACCAGTACAAAATTATTTTATATATCTATCATTGAGACAAAAACATATCGTCTTTGAACTAATTTGATGATATATCTTTGTAAGTAGTAAATAATTATCATTTACTTTTATTTTGTAAATTTATTTCTAATGTGAACTGATTTAAGATTTTACAATAAATTCTAAAATGATTTTATGAATCACATTTTATCATATCACTGTTATTTGTCAGATTTTATTCAAGTACTACTTTATTTAGTCACTTGATTTTTTGTATTCTGTAATTTTGTTAGTTATGTCTTTCATTTTTTCTTCAAAAACTTTTGCCAGCCAAGTGACTAGATTATTTAATATTTTATTATGCAGCATTAATTACTAGAATTTGAAAAAAATAATTCACTAATTTTTTTGAACGTCCAATAATTTTGGACGTTCAAAAACTAAAACTAAATGAGACTGAAAGAAAAATTATGATGTTTTGAGATGCTAATCCAAGTTACAAACTGTTTTTCTCATTAACAAAATATACATTAATGAGATTTAAGCTTTCTATCAATTATTTTTTACCTAAAAATACTTCAGAAATTTTTTTCTTTTTTTGGCCTTAATAAAGAATCAACTATATAGTTGCAAAGAAATTAATATAAATATTTATGATCATGAGATCATAAATATTTATATTAATTAGTTTAATAGAGAAAGATACATGATCTCATAAATTTAGAAGCTAAATTTATGAGATTATGTATCTTTGTGCGGCTGAAAAATGAACCTAATCATGAATTGTTTTGAAATAATATGTTTGATTATATATGATGTAGCTTGCTTCTAGCCATATGAGTAACTAAACACTACAAGATACTTCTAAAAACTTTCCAATGTGTGATTACATATAGATTCAAACTTAAAATGTCTCTGATGCAAAATAAATATTTTATAATTTTTGAGATGACTATTTTTTCAATCATATCATTACCTCATCAAATTTTGATTTTATTTCCCATAGGATGGAAAAATAATACAAAACCTATTTACATAGACTTATTTTGAACAAACTATACTACTATCTCTAGTGAAGACAACAACGTTCATTATTATGCTCTTTGAAGAAATGAGCATGTGTATTTGATGGCTCAACCATGAACCAAACTTCATGATGCGTGCGAGGTTTTGATTAGGTCTCATTAATCTCTTCATTGGAAATATGAGTGAAGTATATTCTTTGATGCATTAAGATTCATATAATACAAAACTCCATTAGAATATGTAGAATTTCAACATGTTATCAAGTATAGTTGTTATCTATGTTTGATTTGAGAGGAAATTATTATTGGAGTACAAAATGTTACAAATTCACTTGATTCAATATGACAAGTCTAAATTTGACTATATTATACTTACATATACTTTATTATACAATCAAGATTAAAGATAAATGATAATGTACTTTAAATTTTACAAGTGCAATAAAGTATATGTAACCATCACATTTACATGTAATCAGGATTATCTAACCTGATGAGGAGCGACCTGAGCAACATGTATAGACTCTAGAGTTTTGGCAAGTGTAATTTGGGAGTCATAAGAGATATGTTTATTTTTATATTAAGTATACCTATTTATTGTGAGAAAGCTGGAAAGCCTACCAAAAGTAGGAGATGAATGGATACTGTTTTCATAGTTCTCGTGTCATGTATCTATTTCTTCAAAAGAGATTAATTACTGATATAATATGATACTGTTTGACACTTGTCGTCAAACCCCAAGGTTTGATCCACAAAGGAGTTGACGGGATCTTCTACAATTACATGTACCTATGAGCAGAGTGGAGAAAACACGAATTTAAGGAGAAACCCAGCAACTTCGTGGGAAATAAAAGGCATGGGGTAACTAGTTTGCAGGAATCTGTGGACGTAGGTACCTCGAAAGGACTCCGTTGCAGCAACTTGCATTTTCAAAGCCTGCAACCTTCTCGCGCTTTCTCCAATGCTCCATCCATTTCTTCATATCTGCTCTGTGCTCGTCAAAACGGACTTTCTTCGCATGCTTCTCGTCTCGCTCCAGGTCTCCTTTGTCACAGTCTCCGTAACAGCAATCTGCATGATGATCTTGCCTCGCCTGCAATTACTTCTGGGCATGTGGCGCATTTGCTACAAGCTTCAAATCTCGAAAAGTACTTCGGGAAGAAGCAACTTGTCTCGGCAGTGAGAGAACCCACCACGAAATTTCAACATATTTCAATTCGATCCAGGAAAGTGAGAAGAAATGACAGAGCGCTTCAGTGAGATGGCGGATACGTACAGTCTGTAGGTGCGGCGCTGCACTAGATAGATAGGGGAGAGGGGAAAGGGGAAAGGGGACGTGGTAAGTAAGAAGCGATTCGAGGGTCCATTT